CTCTCCTCTGCCTCCCAACTGAGCCTCTACAATCCACTGTTAATGCTGAGCTCGGCTTTGTAAGAGCCTGTGGGAAGGGCAGGTTTGAGAGCCTCCAGCCAGAGATGAGCAAATGGGCCAAGAGAAGTTGAGGACCTGACCTGGCCACAGAGCTAGTAAGCAGTAGGAACCGGGGTGGTACCCAGATCTCAGCAAGACTGCCCTCCTGTCCTACTAATTCTGGGGCCATGGCCTGCCTGGCACAGCCAGCAAAGAATGAATTGTTATTGCCATATATATTCAAATTTTTTTTTGCTATAGCATTTTTTCCTTAATGGACTACAAATTATCCATTTGTGAGGAGGATATTATCTCAGAACTTACCCGAGGGCAAGGATTACCTTTTCTTACAGTCATATACATTTTCCTTTGATTTTCTTGGTTTTATTTTTGTCCTGAGCTTTTGCCTAAGCATGTGAAAATATTTTTCTGGCCGACAACAGGTCTTACTTTGTCTCCTAACATTTTCAGTGTAGTTCTGTTTTGAGGACATAATCAGAATCTGGCAATGTTTGAAAACCCTGATACATAAATTAAAACAATTGGCAGAAATCAAAGGCAATAGAATTGGGGCACAGACAATTCAAGAACTTGGCATTTTTGTAGAATTAAAAGTCAAGGGCAAATCTCTGTCCTGACCATTTTCACTATTACCCATATTTCTGACTGTTTTATACAACTCCAATAATACTTTGACTATTATTAAAAATGAAAGAGATTCTGTTAATACAGCCAGCCCTTAAAAATTTTTTTTTTAATTTAAAAAAATTCAAAGGGAATTTGCTTGAACCAAAATTCAACTTAAAAGTTAAGAAAATTTTAAAAAACGTCATACTTCTGGAAAAAAAAATTTTTTTGGTTCTAGTGATAGGTGTCCTTGCTTAACTGCCAGAAGGTGCTTCTATAAATACCTCTGTTTATTAATTCCATGTACTGTCTGGTGTCATTAAGTGTATTGGAGTATCTCTTAAGAACCTTAAAAAGATAAAGAGCCCTCCTGCTAGCTGCTTGATACTATTTTTGATGTTTGTTTTAGGCATTAAAAGTCTAGAAGAGCAGCAGTGAAAGCCAGCCTGTTACTGATATTTTAATGGAATGTATATTTTCACAATAGTAGTTACAGAAATGACTATTGTCCTTTGATGCATAGATACTGTAACACGTTCTTTCAAGTAGACCGTAGACCTGGCATGGTCACAATAATAAACATTAGGCAATGAGGTCATCTTGCCCAAATTCAGTGATGCTTTGTTTTTTGGGTTTTTTTTTTTTTTTTTTTGGCTTCTTGATCTTGGAGTCCGTGTTGCTTTTTTAAGATGTTCTTTGCCGTCTTCTGCAAAGAGGCCATTTAGCAATAGGTTAATTAGTTTGCTGGTACACCGGCAAAGAAAAACAAATGTTGTTCTAATATTAATTAGCTCCCAGAATTTCTAAGACACTGAAGCATACCTTACTTTAAACTTTAGAATGTGGCAGTTCTGAGAGGATCAGAAGTAATGATAGATTCACATCATTCTCAAGGTAGCCAAGTTTAATCCCCCATGCTGGTTATGCCTGAGAAATGTTCTAGGCACTGTCTGATGGTTAAATTGTACAGATACTCGGCTTGTCATGTTTCTACGTGTGTCTTTTAAAGGTAAGCTTGTTTTTTGTACCGCTCTGCTGTTCTCTCCCAGGTCACCCGGGAGCACTTGAGTACTCTGAGTCTTAGTGTATCAAAAATAATCAGGCTGAGATAAAAAGAGCTGGAACCAGACAACCAAGAAACATTCGGTCTGGGTGTTAGCCTTCAGGTTCAGTAATAGATGTTGCCGCCGAGGGTCTCTAAAATAAAAAGCAAAGGAAATCTCTGCTATTCAGCTGCCTGTGGTCTGGGCGGAGAACCTGAGGGCTGCTTCAGTTCCCCCAGTTCCCTTCAATTCTTGTTATTTTTGGTTTTATTTTTTATTAGTGGGGAATCATTGAGGGTACCCTGAGCCAAGTTGTGCTTTGGGTTTGCTGGGTGAAGTCCCTCTATTAATAGTGACCCACCCCCCAAGAGGTGTGTCACACACGGTGGCCCTGTATGCCCCTTCCTTCTCTCCCCTCCCCCCTTCCTCCTCCCCACCATGTACTACCACCAATTGTCTTCATACCATAATTGAGTACATTGGATTCTTGCTTCTCCATTCTTGTGATGCTTTACTAAGAAGAATGTATTTCAACTCCATCCAAATTAATACAAAAGATGTAAAGTCTCCATCTTTTTTAGTGGCTGAATAGTATTCTGTTGTATACATACACCACAGCTTGTTAATCCATGCCTGGGTTGGTGGGCATTGAGGTTGTTTCCACAATTTGGCAATTGTAGATTGAGCTGTGATGAACAGTCTAGTGTGGATGTCCTTACGAAAGAATGATTTTTTTTCTTCTGGGTAGATGCCCAGTATCTTCGATTCTTTTTAAATTCAACCTTGGATTTAAAAACAGGGACCATCACATCGCTCCTTCGTGTACTCCAGAAATCTCTGATGGGACATTTCTGTGTTGTTCCTTGAAGGGAAGATAAATGTGAAGTTCAATGAGAACACAGTGGATTATCATGTTTATCGAGTAAGACAAATGTTTTAGGATCTGAAATAAGTGTCAGATTTAATAGAAATTTTTGCTTTACTCTAGTAAATCAGGAGGAAACTCATCATCCAGTTTGGGTGACATAGTACCTAGTTCCAGAAAATCAACACCTCCATCATCTGGTAAGTAGGGGACACGTACTGATAGTACATATTCATTTCATGCTTTTGCCAGCCTTACCTACTTGGTGAACTTACAGACACTGAATTACTAGGTTAACCCTACAAATATTCGATGGGATCAGGAAGTAAAGATGGCCTTTATCGAGTTAAAAACAATATGGGGGAATTTTTTGGAAAAAAAAAAGAAAGTGTGTCAAAATGTTTGAGTTGCTGCTGATCAAAGGATGGACAGGTTTAACTTTTTATCTTATTCCCTCCTGGTGCCCGGCACCTTGTCACAGGCAGTGCCTGAGTGAAGCTCATCGACAACCGTAGTGCAACGTGAAGTGTAGTCGCAGGGTTTAATAAAAGAAAGAAGAAGAATTAAACATTTTAGAGAGGTGAGGAACAGAGAAGAAAGTGAAGATGGCGGGATTGCTATACCCAAAGGGCTTTGTGGGATACATAGGAAAGAATTTACAGAAGAAAGATGTAAACATTTGTGAGAAGACCATCTACTGTTTCCATTCCAGATCAGTGGGTTCATCTCATAGGTGTCAGAATAAATAAGGGCCACACAGGTAAACTTGAACTTCGGGTAAACAATGAATACTGTTTTTAGTAAAAGTATATATTACATGAGACATACGTATACTAAAAAAAAGATTGCTTATCTGAAGTCCAAATTTTACTGCATTTATATTTGATAAATCTGGCAACTCTGCTGTTCTTTATAGAATGTGGAGTTCTATAGAAAAAGGAAATTAATTGGTTGAATTGCAGGAAAGCCAGCGATCATCAACTTAGTTTGCTAAGAGCTGTAATGGGGAGTGAGGGTAAGATTATAAAGTTTGGCTGCCAGTGCACGTGAGGGAAATGATTCTGTGTATGATTTCTAGAAAGCCAGAAACGGGAAGAGATCAAAAAGAAGGAACTGTACATCTATGGAAAAATTAAGGGACTAGTTACATGGTGGCTGGTGTGTCCTAAGAACTGGATTTCTCTATTACTGATAATCACACCTTGTTTGAATGTTGACAGATTTTAGAGACCAGTCTAGGACTTCTTAGCAAAAATGATAGGACTTTGTAAGTGAGTAAAATCTGAGGACAATGAGAAATAAATCATTTTAGGATGCATAATGATTTCAAAAACTATATACTGATAATTTGCAGCAATTAAAAAAGTCGTGTGCTCAAAATGAAAATTGAAGCCCTTGTAGTTAGTAAGTGAGGTTTGGATCTTCCCTTGATCAGAAAGGAGCCTTGTCTTGTGCCTCCTCAAGTGTATGAAGTTGCAGGGATTACTATACAAACTCCTACTCTTACATATCTTAAAGACAATTTCAGTGACTCCTGAGGTCCATTATTAAGCTCTTAAAATGGAAAAATGCTACATGACATTGCGATACAGCAGTAATCCCACTTGCAGATGTCAGTTCCATTTCTGAGCATGAGAAAAATTCGTTTACCTCTGACCATATCGTGGCCTTCTAATCATTTTGTCAGTACAAGTGCCCTTGATTTATGATGGGGTTGCACACCAATAAGCCCGTGGTAAATTGTAAATATCATCTGTTGCATTTAATCCCTAGATAAACCCATCATAAAGTCCAAAAATTATAAAGTCAAGCTGCCATAGGTCCCGATCCTCCCCGTCTCATGTTGGGGTGACATCCTGATAAATCTATCATAAAGCTGAAAAATCTGAAGTCAAACCATTGTCAGTCAAAGATCATCTGTATAAGGAGGAGAGGAGGTGCCTAGAGTTTGAAGAATCATTTAATATATATGTAAAATAACATTTTACCTTGTAGTCCAATGTTTGTCTTGACTGTAAATCAAGTTCCGTGAAGGGTTTAATATTTTTTTTAAAGGAAAAGGTGATTTAAAACTTAACCAAAATTTTATACAGGTACAGGACTTTGAAATAATTTTTCTGAATACAATGAGTAGAAAAGGCTTGTGACTGAGTTGACTAGAGATACAACGGATGACAAAATGTGTAATAGGAATGTCAGGACTATTCTGAGATGAAATTCAAAGGAAAACTTCAGAAAATTCTAGAGAGAAGTGCCCCCCAATTCACCTTCAGCAGCAACAGTGCTACCTGTCAAGTGTAGATTGACCTGCAGTGGTAATGTTCATCTTTGTTTCCTGGGGGTCCTATCGATAATTTCCCTCTCTCAGGGCTAGATCAAAGAACATAAACAGCTGCCTAGCATATATATGCTTAAATGTTCTCAAGGACTTAGAAAAGGAGAAATTCCCATGTTATATATGGGTAATGGGGTCATCGTCAGTTGCAGAACACACAGTGTTGTGTGTCACCCCTGAACTGTGCTCAATTGGATCCAAGCTCCAAGATTAAACTAAAAATTTCAAAACATGTTCCCAAGGCTCTCTAGCAATGATATAGTAATACTAGTAATGATACAAGTATAGTAATGAAGAATGAAAGAAACTATTTTCAAATAGAGGACAGCAGTTCTTCCCAGGTAAATAAGTAGTGTCATTTAAGGTGTGGAAGGACGAGGATGAAATTTAAAAAGGGTAACACTGCAGTAAAAGGAGACCATAAAAAGTATAGAGAACTCTGAACAGAGTTGAAAATACTTCTTAACTGTCTTGGTAAGTTTCTTTACTTTGTTCTGAAAGTGACCAGATGTCGTAGAATTCTCTGCATTTCAAAATGCACGCAGCTGCTTTTAGACTTAAGATAACCAAATGTTGGAACTAATACATTGGGAGGTTCTTCCTTTGGGGTTTGGAGCCCTTTGTGTCCAGGCACAGGTAAATTTAGAACCTGACTCAGGCTATGGGTGTGGGTAGCCACGTGCCGTCCGGGCAATGTCATGGCTAAACATCGATGCCCACTACTCTTTCTCTAAAAAAAAACAATAAAACTTAAGGGCTCCTCTCCCTTAAAGTGGACTTTATAGGCCCATTAAAAGATGACAAAGATAAAAGCATATGGGAATTCACCACCGGAAGGGAAATGGACTTGATGTCGCTGAGGACATAAATGAGATACTGACCCAGACCTTTTCCTTCATATCCAGGAAGGTGCTAACAACACACTTCCCAGTTGGGATTCAATGACAATCCTTCCAGAAGCCTATTTTTTTCAGTCTCTTGGCTTATGTCCTTCAGTAAGCCTCACAGGTGAATTTGCCTGTATGAGTAAAGGATGAGCTACTTGGTGACATTAAAATCAGCACTGGTTCCAATCCCCAGGGACATTTCATAGTGTTTCTCTCCACACCTGCTGAACCTTTCAGCTCACCATACGCATAGATGGGGCACAGAGAGACATATTCTCTCGGTAAGCCTACCTAACCACCTGGAATCCAGGCAGTCCATTATTAGTTTCACTTAATAAAAAGTCATACTTCATCTACTATGCAAGCAATCACTGATGCTGATGATTTTGTGCATCAGTGCCAGACTCGCTACCTAATCAAATGAAAGGGAACAATTAAATAAGAGATGTTAGTTTTCGTAAGGCTGAATCATCTAATATCCGTAATAACCACAACACTGAAAAATAACGTGAGACCTGTCAGACGAGGTCCCAGCCTTTGAAAAGGTTAGAAGAGGCTGTTGAACGCACGAATCCAGCTTGCACGCCACAGGGAATGGTAGCTGTTATCACGGCACCAAGGGTCTGTTATTCCAATATGGTAAATTGTTCCTTAAATCTGAATGTACTGTGGTTTCTGTTAAGAGAGCTGACATATATAATATGATGACTTCCTGGGGTAAGTTTTCTTCTTGTCTTTTCTTTGAAGCTAATCTCAAACACAGAGTAATTTTCTAGTCAGCTTAACTCTGATATCCTGAATGCTGACATCAAGGGCATGACCCCGTGGGGGCCGGGGACTGGAAAAGTGCACCCAGACTGAGACTAAATCTAACCCAGAGGGATGGGGCGATGGAGAGACAGGATAGAGGTTGCCAAAGGCAGGAGAACAAGGTCTGGGGCCTGCATCTGCCAAGTCTTGTCCAAGAACAAGCCCCTTAAACTTTGTGAGTTTATCTTCTCATCTTAAAAATAACAGAGTTGACAGTGGCTCTTCAAAATGATTCCCGCTCTGATTCTAGAGTTGATAAAATTCCGTAGTAATTGAAATGAGATCACATGGGGTTTTTTTTTTTTTCTTTTAACATTTTTTTAAAGTGCGGTGTTTTGAGACTGAAAAATTCAAAAAGTGAAAGAGTGTTGAGCAACACGCCCAGACCCTTCCTGTTGTGGATGAGGAAACCAGGGACACATTCTGGAGGGTTTTGAGCCGTCGCACTCTTCCTTCTGTGTTAAATCCAGCCACAGCTCTACACAAGGCATCAGAAGTTTCCCAATATTTTATTAGCCTGATTTCATTCCGGTATCATGGGATCCGGTGGTTTTTGATTACTCCCGGATCAGGACTATCTGAGGACACACATATCATAAAATCATGTTGACGGTGTCCACCGGGAGCCCTCCCTGAGCCACTTGCCTTGTGTATGACACCTTTCTGTCACCTGGATTGAGGACTTTTTATTCTCTTTTTTCCTCAAATGCCTGTTGAAATCTTAGTGAACCGTTTGACACTGCCTTCATTGTTCACATAAGTGGGCAAAATGGGAAATCCGAGCCACATCGTGATAATATCTGTAATAACCACAATACTGAAAAATAAGGTGATACCTGTCAGATGAGGTCCCAGCTTTCGAAAAGGTTAGAAGACGCTGTTGAACGCATGGATTCATTTATTCCTTCTTTTTTCTTTTTTTCGTCTTTTTTGAGACAGTGGCTCAACATTTTTCTTTCTTTCTTTTTTTCTTTTTTGAGAAAGAGGCTCACTGTGTTGCCCCAGGCTAGAGTGCCTAGGTATCACACCTCACGGCAACCTCAAACTTCCTGTGCCCGAGTGATCCTCTGACCTCAGCCTCCCAAGTACCTGAGACTAAAGCCGGACATTGCAATGCCTGGCTAGTTTTTCTATTTTTAGTAGAGACGGGGTCTGGCTCTTGCTCAGGCTGGTCTCCAACTCTTAAGCTTAAGCAATCCACCCAGCGAGCCCTTGCAGTGCTGACAGGTGTGAGCCACTGCCCTGATAAAAAGTTTTTAGTCCCCTTGCTTATTACCTAAAAGCTGGTTTAAGAGATCATAGGAAGTCAGGCCAAAGATACTGTCCTATTTTATACAGTTGATATGGAAATCATCAACATTATAGTTGAAAGTACAAATTAAAAATGCTTCTCTAAAAATACTATTCAAGAGCTCTAGCATGAAACTGGTATGTTCAAGCGGGGATCTTTCCATTTTATTAGATTTGATAGCGTTGCATTCTTAACATGCTTTACCTTGAAATTGTACTTCCTTTGTTACTATGTGGACCTCTCAGGAGGGATTTTTTTTAAAACTACAGTCAGTCTGATTTGCTTTCATTTTAGTTTCTTTGTGACCTGTTTGCTTCTCCTCTCCACTTGACGATTTTTGAATTGTTTGTCTGTATATAGCTATAGACATAGACGCTACTGGCTTAGACGCAGAAGAAAATGATATCCCAGCAAACCACCGCTCCCCTAAACCCAGTGCAAACAGTGTAACGTCACCCCACTCCAAAGAGAAAAGAATGCCCTTCTTTAAGAAGGTAACATTAACTTCCAAGCTCCCGTTGTCCACCCGCTCAACTGCACTGCGTCACATCTCTAGTCCTGTTGACTGTCTGCGTCCTTTGACAAGCCAATAACATGCATGCTCTGTTATTCTTTGTCTCCCTTCCACGCTGCTGTAGCTAAGCAGAAGCAGAAATCGGTAAGTTCACATTGACATAGCCGTGTTTATCCTGCCACTGGCATCATTAGCATTAATTCCCACGGTTTTATTAATAAATACAACCATTTCTGTCCCAAGACTTATCCACAGTGAATGGAGGCCATGCATTTCAAACCAACTCAATTCAGGGAGTGATGTGTTCAAACGCCATTACAGCACTTATCCTTTTTGATGGAATAATGTCTACCAGCGAGGAAATTGGTTTCAACATCCAGGGACATCAAACACTGGCAGCCCCATCGATGCACCTCAATTGTGCATGCTTACTGTCTGTCTGTCTCTTTCTTTCTTTTTCCTTTTTTTTTTTTTGGCCAGAAATATAACTTCAAGCATTTTAAAGCAGTTATGAGATTTTGATTGATAATATCCAGATACATAGCTTGTACTAAAAAGCAAATGATTTGAGTTTTAATTTAGTCAGTATTTAAACTTCTAATCCACTAGGTGCCAAATCTGCAGATGAGCAAGACCAGTGGAGAACTGCAGGCTTGTTTTGGCGGTTTACTGTGAGTGTCGCCTCCTGTCATATGTGAATACTCTCCCGATGTTCTCGCCTTCTCCGTCAGTCAGATGTCAGCATCTCACCTGTCGGACGGTGGCTGGGGGCCGTGCATAGAGCCTTTGCTGTTGGCCACCCAAGATGCTACTCAGTGGTGCCACTTGTCCCTCACCTGGAAATTATAGGGGATACCTGAGCTATCTTTATTCCAGAAAAAGGCTATGTTCTTTCAGTCCATTTTGTGGCTTTAAAGCATTATTTTTTAAAGACCAATAACTATCCTCCCCTAAAAAATTTTTTTCCATTTTTCCCCATCCTTGTACACACCACTTTCTACAGCTCCTATGCTTTTTTTAAGAGTCATACCTCCTGATATCACCATGTCTGGCAAAACTAGCGGGATATTCTAATACACAGCTGTGAAGCCACGTCTCCTCTCTGCCCTAAACTCTCAACATGCTGATCTCTTTCCCTTAGCAAACAAGCATTTGGCTCTTGGGAGGAACTCTAAAGTCAGTAATGTGGTATCAGATAGCAAACTGGAAAGTTCTTTTAAAAAAAAAAAAAAACTATAATAAGAGAAGAACTCAACACTTCAGGCAAAATTCTAAACACTGGATTTCTGTGTTAATGCAAAAAGCTTCAGCTTGATGTCCCCCCAAACGGTGGGCCCATCTCTTGGCTCCGATATTCTTCTCGTTACAGCCAAAACTTGCAGCCACATGACTGATAGTGTCCACAGTTCAGAAGCTGAGAGTGTCAGCGCTGCTAAGCTGCTCTGGACTGTCCAGAGCAGGAACACAAACTAAAACCTCATTAGTTGAGACAGTTTTTGAAATCTGTTTACCTTTAAATTTCAAAAAAACTCTAAAACTGTTTAGCACGATTTTTTTTTTTTTTTTTTTACTAAATAATTCAAAGAAAATAGAGTTAACAGGGAAGGCTAGATCAAAGAGTGGCGTCACTCTCAACAAGGCACAAAACACCAATATTCCATCAAATAAGGTAATTTCTGTAGCTACCCTATTGACTGAGAAGCTGATTGATTTCCAGCATGGGTAACCCTTTGCTAGTTGTCAGTTACAATCGAAGGAACCAAAGACCTATCCCATACTGGGCCACTGAAGACTTACAGACCTGAGATGAAATTTCTTGATAGCTGTTACTAAAATGCATGCAATTTATCTTCCTAACTACAATGGTGGAAAAGGTGTTCATCTCCTGCATAGTTAGAAGGACTTGGCTTCTACACTCCTTCAGTGTGATCCCAGGTGGTATAAATGTAATAATTGAATAAATATGCTTCTGATGCCTTCGGCACTGGTAATTCATTTTTCTTATGTGATCGATTACGTGGTAGACTTCAATGTAGAGTTCAAAAACAAAAGAACAACTTGCAAGTCAATGAGAAGATTGTTTTCTATGTTCTAGGTTGCTTTTAGAGTGGTGCTTGTGTGGCATTTGTGCTGTCACTGTATTATGTTTGTCTTGTTATTTTTTTATTTTTCTCTTCAAAAATGTGTTCTTGCTTGATTGTATCTATTCAAATGAATTTTGAATGCTAGGTAAAATTTTAAGCAGTAAAATTTGACAGCACGGTCACAGGAACACTTCTTCCCCCACTGATTAGTCTGTGACTACTGGTAAAATCTCGGATGGAAGCTTTTGAATTTGAAATGCTTTCTGTTCCCCCCTGAGGCAACTTTAAATTAAAAATGAAGCCAGCAAGTTGGTAAGGGGCAATTTTAAGCAACAGGAAAATGTTCTGGAATCATAGGCTGATGCAAAAATCACATTCACATTTGCACATCAGTTTATCAAATTCTTAAAATAGTTTAAAGAACATATTTTGTCTTTGGGTGTATATGATTCTTAAAATACATGTTTTCAGGCACGCTTTAATGGGATTCATATCCCAATGATTTCCTTATCCCAGTGTCTGAGGCCACATCTGCCTCTCTTCTACATTAAAAAAAAAAATTTTTGGATCAAGTTAATATTTTCTGCTATCAAAAGAGCCAGTTTTCAATATAATCAAGCCAATTAGCTCTTATCTGCTTTGTTTGAAAAATTGTACTTTATCCATTTTATCTGAAGCAATTAAGCTGAAAACTGGCGACAGTTTTAGAAATTGCTAGAAAATTTAACTCCTCCCCCTACTCTTCCAAAACAGGAAAATTATTGCAGAAAGACATGAGACAAGGTATTCAACAGAAATGCTGCCTAAATTATTTTTAAGTAGAATGTTAGATATGCAAGATGATGGTGACCCTTTTGAGGCCACTAAAGCATCGTTGAGTATATTATTACACATTAATCACCTTTCCTCCAAGACACATATACATGTTAAGTTTTTAAGGACCAAAGCTTAGGGAAAAAAGCATCAGCCACTAAGGTGTCAGCAGCGATCACGATTACTGTTTAGTGGAACCAGCATGCAATGCCAATTTCAACTCTCACAATAAAACAGAATTTTTCAAGCCTGTGGTAGTGAGAGTTCTAATATTTTGAAATTAGGTTTTATGCAGGTAAGACAGACGGAGGTGAAAGCAATGCAGTACTTCTTTCCTCCATACTTAACCGCGTTAGGTCTGCATTCCAACTCTTCAGAAAACTCAAATGCATCTGAAAAGCCCTGTTAACTTGCCCTCAAGCCTAAACCACCTTTTCTGCCCGACCCCTCTTTCTGTTTGTTCTCCCAACTGGTTGTTGTTCAAAAGCAGTGCCTCCTGCTTTAGGAACGGAGAGGTCAGTAAGAAGAGCAAGAAAACCGTAGCTAATCCAGTAACTCAAAACTTGAGGAAAATAAACCCACCACTGATCTGTGACTGGGTTTAGTTAGAAAAGAGGCAAGTAAGAAAAAAAAAAAAGTTTAGATGCCTGGAAAGCCTGTGCCTCCTATCACAGAGTTCAGAAAGAGGACCTTACACGTGAAATACTGAAGCTCCCCCAGCTGGAGGTGTCTAAAAGCCTTTCCTCTCTCTGCAGACAGAGCACACCCCTCCGTATGACGTGGTCCCGTCTATGCGACCCGTGGTCCTGGTGGGCCCTTCTCTGAAGGGATACGAGGTGAGTAGCCACGCTCAACCTTGGCATGCTGAACTCCTTTGTAAATAACTCTGCACCCCATTCCCAACTCTTGAATGTAGAGCTTAAAGAGTATAGCAACAAAGCATGTTGTTTTTCAAGCCTAGTGTTTTGTTTTCCTGGCTGTTGCTTTGAAAATTTCTGGCTTAAGGTGACCAGATTTTAACATTGGTAAAGTGGGACACCATTGATGGGGGTGGGAGGGGTGGGAGTGGGGTTCTTAATCAAAAATTTGGTCTATATGAAGCAACAAAATTTTTCTTAGAACGCATAAATAGTATTGTAATATATATATTTTTAATTTCAACATAAGTACAATTTACAAATATAATGTTTTAAAAAAATTATGTATAGGGCGGCGCCTGTGGCTCAAAGGAGTAGGGCGCAGGTCCACCTGGGTGACCTTGCCCAGGAGGGGAGTAGAGAGTTTACATTAGCCTTTTCATTTCCAAATGAAGTTACATTAACCTCTTCATTCCCAAATGGAGTTAACCTTTCCAGCAGCCATATATTCCCTTCCCGTTGTTGTCACCCCCACCCTTCCCTAGCTTCTCTGCATTCTTTCCAAAAACCGAGATTTTTTAAAAACACTGCGGGACACAGGACAAATTGTTAAAAATCGGGACTGTCCTGCCAAAAGCGGGACGTCTGGTCACCTTATTCTAGCTACAATTTACTGGGTCCAGAAAATAGTAGCAAATGGAGAATGACTGAAACCACTCGCAGTGTCCTTTGTCATGAAAATGTGACCCTGAGTTCAGTTTCATTGTTATTGCATCAGGATTCAAAAACCAGAAGAATGCGGCAAGCTCACATGCTACCTTTTCCAAATGCAAAGCTCAGGTTTTCAGGCACTCTCCAGAGAAATTAAACTGCTTTATCCTAATGAGTAATATTTTTGTTTTGTTGTATCTTAATTTATTGCTTGCCCAATTGCAGGTCACAGATATGATGCAAAAAGCGTTGTTTGATTTCTTAAAACACAGATTTGAAGGGCGGTGAGTACTTGAGATTATTGGGTGTTGGGGATTTTATCTTAAAGATGACAAAATCCTGGTGGGACAGGAATGGGATCCTAAGAGAAAACTCCCCTCTGATGACTGTGTGATGGCAGGAAGTTTCCTTCAATTGAATCTAGTTCAATCGGATATTTATGTTTGTACATACTCAACTCCAGATGACCTAGTTCCTGTCCCTTCATCTGTAAGCTGAACTTGGACATGGCCCTGCTGGCTACTAGTCTCACCTCAATTCACTGTCAGCCAGCCCCTGACTGCTGCTTAGACGTGACACTAAGTATCTCTGTTCTGTTCCCTCTTTTACCTTTCTGAAGATTTCCCTGTCATCTGCCCCTCTTTAAACCTTCAACAACCCCTTCTTATCTCACTGTCCCTCATTGCTTTCCGATTTCATTGAGAAAATAGAGGCACATGGAAGAGAACATCCAGCAGTTTCCATCTGTCCTCATTCGCGTGTTTGCCGGCCACTGTGTGCCCAGCAGCGGCCATCCTGCCCACTCAGCTGTCCAGACATGACTGCACAGTCTTTCATTCTTTTCTCATCAGTATTTCTCGTTCCATTGGAAACCACATCAGCATGTAAAAACGTTCTCATTTCTCCTTACATTTGACCTCATATTCCCTCTAAATATCTCATTTTTCTTCTTTTCTTTAAGGAAAATTTCCTGAAAGAGCTGTGTGTACTTGCTTTCCTTCCTCTCTCTTGATCCTATCCCAGTTATGCTGTCACCCACACCACCCAATCAAAACTAGTCAGGCCCATCAGGGAGCCTCGGTTCACGCCTGTACTCTCAGCGCTTTGGGAGTCAAGGCAGAGGATCTACGCTCAGGAGTTCAAGACCAGCCTGAGCCAGAGCAAGACTCCGTCTCTACTAAAGATAGAAAAATTAGCCAGGCACTGTGGCAGCTACTCAGGAGGCAGAGGCAGGATGGCCTGGACCCAGGAGTTGAATTTGAGGTTGCAATGAGCTATGATGCCACTGTACTCTAACCTGGGCTACAGAATGAGACTGTCTCAAAAACTAGTCACTATCACCAATAACCCTCATATTGCTACATCCAGGGGTGAATGTGCAGCCCTTATATTACTCAACTGTGAGCAACAGTTGACACGGTGGCCTCTCTCAGCCTCTTCTAAATACTTTGATTACTTCCTGAATTTTGCTTCTATCACACCAGCTGTTCCTTTCTCCTTGGTTGGGTCTTTTCTCATCTACTAGACATCTTGGAGAACCCAGGGCTAAGCCTTTTGGGCTTTTAGTTCTTCTATCTGCCTTCCTTTCTTTTTTTTTTTTTTTGAGACAGAGTTTCACTCTGTTGTCCTTGGTGGAGTGCCATGGCATTACAGCTCACAGCAACCTCCAACTCCTGGGCTCAAGCGAGTCTCCTGCCTCTGCCTCCCAAGTAGCTGGGACCACAGGCACCCGCCACAACGCCCGGCCATTTCTTGGTTGCAGCCGTCATTGTTGTTTGGCGGGTCCGGGCTGGGGATTCGAACCCGCCACCTTAGGTGTACGTGGCTGGCGCCTTAGCCGGTTGAGCTATAGGTGCTGAGCCCTGCCTTCCTTTTTTTAGTAATTACCTTTAGTGTCTAATTTTTAAATACCATTCCTGTGCTGGTCTCTCCCCCCAGCTGCCTGTTCACCATCACCGGTAATGGACTTTCCAAACTTCCCCTCCCATAGTCTTTCCCTATCTCAGTTACTGGTTTCTTCATCTTTCAGTCCCAAGACCCTTGGCCCCAGATCATTGAATTATCCTTGGCTATTCTTTCTCTTACATCCCACATCCAAATGCTGGTGTCTGTGTCCTCAAAACATATTCGGAATCAAAGCTCTTCTCACGTACCCTTTGCTGTCATTTTGGTCTGAGACACCACTGTCATCTCTTCCTTGGATCATGACATCATCTAATCCCCATATCACTTCTAGACGTCATTCTCTTGCTCTTATCATCCCTCTCTTATGGTCTATTCTTGACTCAACTGCCTACACGACCTGTTACACTGTGAGCTGGGGCTCGTCACTCCTCTGTTCCGAGCCATCCAGTCACCTCTCTTTTCATCAGAGTAAAACACAAAGTCCTCATCATGCCCATACACTCTCTGTGGGCTGCCCTTCTACACCCCGTTTCTTGTCTGGCTCTCTCACTCTCATTTAACTTGCTCATCTGCTCCTCCCACTCACTCCCTTGTCCCATTTGTGTTCCACCCAGCCAGATACGTGCCCACTGCAGGGCCATTGCACGTTGCAGTTCCCTCTGCTCAGAACACCCCTACTCCCCGTATTCTCTTTGGTATATGTGTAGCTGAGACTATAAGGGCCCACCACAACGCCCATCTATTTTTTTGTCATAGCTGTCATTGGCCCAGGCTGGGTGCAAACCCACCAGCCCTGGTGTATGTGGCCGGCACCCTAACCACAGAGCAATGGGCGCTGAGCCAACCTTTCTGTATTTTTAACATGATAAACATGGTACCTTTCTCCACATCCTTCTCCTTTGTCCCCTTCCCCCCACCCGAACCCAAGTATGAGGGAGATTATCTGTCGGTTTCACTGTTCTTAATACAGCATTTTCTTTCTATACTATACCCGTTACTGCAACCGTTCCTAACTTAGGTGGACTTCTGGCAGGGAAGACAAAGCATAGAGAGGGAAACTTTCATAGCAGGAGATGACCACGGAAAGGTCTGGGAGGGAAAGAAGAGAAACCATGTTTCAAGGTCTTGAAAGACATCATAATCAAGGTCTACCTAACCAAATGCTCCAAATTAGTTTTTTGTTTTAATTTTGCATAACTTGACAAAATGTTTTTTAGTTTGTGCTAGGAAATACAGCCTTAAAGCTTGGTCCAAGGCTATCAGGCCCTGGCCAAGTATGAAAGGCATGCCTATAATCTGGCCCTTTTAGCTTTTATTTCTTTATCCTTGGCTCTGCCGTTTATCACAATTTGAAATTGTCTACATCAGCGTGCACACTCAAAAATTTCGGTTAAAATAGGTGTTACTTTTTTTATGACTGAGTTAACCCACTGCTCTTTTTACTAAACGCCAAAGATGAGGAAATGGGATGGAATTTCCTGATTTGCCACCTATTTCTGAGTAAGTAATGATTGGTTCAATAAACTAAATTTATTTTTAATTGTTTTATTTTTTTAAGATCGTCTCACCGTGTTGCCCTTGGTAGAGCACTGTGGCATCACAGCTCACAGCAACATCTAACTCTTAGGCTAAGTGATTCTCTTGCCTCAGCCTCCTAGTAGCTGGGACTAAGGGCTTCTGCCACAATGCCTGGCTATTTTTTTTGTTTTGTTTTGTTTTTGGTGTAGTTGTTTTTCAGCAGTCCTGGGCCAAGTTCAAACCAGCCAGCACCCTAGCCACTGAGCTATAGGGGCTGAGCCCTAAATTTATGTATTTTTTTTAATTTTAAACCCAAGAGGGGAAAATGCAAAAGGAGATGTTGATGATGAAAGGTTCTAGATAGGAATTCCTTTTCTGTTCTGAAACCCACGTAAGTCCATTTGTGGATCTCCAGAAGAGCTATCAGAATCACGATTCTGGTTGTTAAATAGCCTAAGCGTGTCAGGTGAAAGAATAGATGACAAGTCACCATCCTCTCTCTGTTGTGTGCGGTAGAGTAGCCTATTTAAAATTGGATTCCCCGAACCAACCGTGTCCTGTAGACAAAACCACATTCACACTCACCGTGCAGGTCGTGGCAGTAGCTTAACCAGGAAACTTACAGAAACGAAAGCTACCATCTGGGATAAGTTGGGTTTTCCCCCCCAGGGACTTTGAAAATGTCAGCTATCCACACTGGAGTGTTTGGAATATGCACTGAATTGCGATAGATAGGGGTGTGTACAGTATTGCCAGAATCTTCTGTGAGAGAATCTTACTGGAAATCAATAATCCTTGGCAACATTACATCACTTTTTTTTTTTTTCTGGTATGAGAAATTTACTTAGATGTGAGATGACTTCTAAAATTGGTAGTTTTCAACTCTGGCTGTGTATTAAAATTACCAGCCAGTGTACCACCCTCCACTAAGTGAAACCAAAGCTCTAGGGCAGGACATGGGCATTTGTAACTTATATAGTAATTTTGATACACTGCAGGGGTTCAGACTTATTACTCTGAACTGAATTGTCCCCAAGATGTTTGCCTTCAGGATTTTCAAAGTCTGCTGCTGCCGAGCAGAACTCCAAGTAATAATGATACCCAGAGTGTGACTTCAGAAGTTGAAGTAGGATAGTGGCCTGTCTCCTAACCACAGGAGCAGGTCAGTGGAATACCACGTTCGGGAAGAAAAGGCAAGCACCTAGGACAAGGAAGATGGGTGATGACAGAAGCTCCCACTCAGCACCTGAATGAGTTCCCTAGAGGCGGGACTACAAGGTGCTTCTGAGGTGTAGTCAGTCTTTTCGCCAAAGCTGCATCTGCGGGATGGTGCCATGGCAGGGCAGTTGCTGCCCAGCAAGTGTCCAGCGCTTTTGAGAGGCACAAACCCCAATCTCCAGGTGCACGAAGGCTCCTAATACATATGTGTTGAGTGAACAGCTCCCCCAGTGGCCAGGCTCAGCATCAAGGGGATCCTGTTACACGTCCCGAGTGAACAGCCCCCCAGTGGCCAGGCTCAGCATCAAGGGGATCCTGTTACACGTCCCGAGTGAACAGCTCCCCCAGTGGCCAGGCTCAGCATCAAGGGGATCCTGTTACACGTCCCCGAGTGAACAGCCCCCCCAGTGGTCAGGGCATCAAGGGAATCCGTTACATGTGTGACAGCTGGAGCTTCCCAGATGGCACCATCCCACCCTTTTACACCACCCTCGAATAAATGAAAGCATTTGGTAATCATCACAGAGCAGTGGAGGATCCCGCGTACAGCCTGGCTTCCTGGTGAATGCAATGCAATATAACAATGAAACCATTTTTTAAATTAATGGGTTTAATGTTTCTTTTTCTGATCGCTGCTTTTTAAATGCTAAATAAGATTTTCATCAAATACTTGACCTTTTTTTTTTTTTTTTTAAATAGCAGCCTCAGAATAAAAAGGAATAAACTGTTGAAGGCCGTACAGATGATATTTTGGAAAAGGCAAAACTATATTGGAAACAGTTCTGTATTTCCCAGTGGAGGGGTGGGAGGGAGGACTGACTACAAAGGCCCAGCCCACTGAACTGTAGGAGGTCATGGAAGGATTCCGTATCAACACAGAACTTTATAAATTTGTCCAAATGCTTGGACCTATACACCAAAAAGAATGAATTTTATTGTACAGAGATCCAAATCTTTCTGTAAAAACTAGTAGTCCCTTTTCATAGTTTATCCAATGTCCTGCTCTCCAGATTCAACTATGGCTTTTGGTATTTTCTCCTTGCCTCTAAATAAAGGGCTTAATTTGCTACTTGAGTTTTCAGTTAGGCTCTGTCTAAGGATTTCATACCAGGAAGAATATTGAGGACTTCTGCAAATCACACACCTGCACACACGTCTCCTCTCTTGATCTCCCAGTAGTTAAAACTGAGAAACTGGCTCAGCGCCTGTGGTGCAAGTGGCTAAGGCACCAGCCACATACACCCAAGGTGGAGGGTTCGAATCCAGCCCGGGCCCAGCAAACAACAATGACGGCTGCAACCAAAAAATGGCCAGGCACTGGGTGGGCCCCTATGGTCCCAGCTACTTGGGGGGCTGAGGCAGGAGACTTGCTTGAGCCTAGGAGTTGGAGGTTGCTGTGAGCTGTGATGTCATGGCACTCTACCCAGGGGGATAGCTTGAGGCTCCAGTCTCAACAAAGAAAAAAGAAAAAAAAAAACTGAGAAACTGTTGGATGCTTTTGAATATACTGTGAAAAGATTTAGACACCAGAGAGAGAATTGGGGGCTAGATTCATGGCAAATTAACAGAAAATTAAGCAAGTCTAAAAAGTAAAATTAATTCATTTCATAAAAACCACAGAGAAAGCACACAAGAAAAAGCACAGTATATATGACATGGTCCATTGGAATACTATTAACACGGTTATAATAAATGTTAAATATGGAGCCAGCCAACGTTACTACTTACCTTCTTGAATCCCTGAGTTGTTCTAGCCTGATTTAGACCATTCCTCTCTGTGCCTGGCATCATTCTGGGACAGGCCTCTTCATTATCCTTGGAGATTCTTTTTACCTTTCTTTTGGGTTGGAACTCTACTTTTCTAGATCCCTTAATTTCTGTCAAGCTTGTTAGTCAAAAAATTTCTCCAGTAAGTTCCTTAAAAGAGTACATTCAAATTTTTCAATACTCTGAATGCCTGACAATGTCTTCAGTGAATTGAATTGTCTACCAATGATTTGATAGTTTAAATAGTAATGGACCTCTAACTGGAATAATTTTCCCCTCTGAACTTTGGAGGCTTTTTGTTCCAGTATCTTCTGGCATCTGTTGTTTCTGTTGAGAAGCATTCCAATTCCTGACCCCTTGAAATGTGTTTTCTCCTCTGGAAACTTGTGAGTTTCTCTTTGTCCCCAGTGTTAGGAAATCTGTAAGAAAATGTCTTGGTGTGGATCGGTCGACCTCTGTGCTGGGCCCTTTCAAAAATCACAGCCTTCTTTCTGGTATTATTCCTCTGGTTTCTTCTCTTTTTCTCCATTCTCTTCTTCTAAATTCCTGTTCTCTAATTTTCTTACCATTCTTGTTTTGTCTTTTTTGTTTTTACTCTTTGAAAAGGTCCTTACCTTTATTTTTTAATCCTTCTTTTGAATGTTCATTTCTGTTGTCCCATTTTTAATTCTGAAAAGCTCTTACCCTAAGTTTTAAATTAGAAATGCATTTTAGTTTTGCAGATATAATGACTGCTTAGTTTTCACCTGTGAGCCAAATTCATAGTTGATTTTTCTGTTTGTTTTGGTCTCTCAGGTTAGAGGTTTTCCAAAGAGGCCTGACAGATGCTCCTGTGCTCAAATTTTAAAATGGAGCATAAAATAATTAACTGGAAGTTCTGAGCTCATAGGTGGAATTTGTCAACTTTGTGCTTTCTCTCTAGGACAACCTTGCTGAGCAACTGACATTAAGAACTCTCCAGTACTATTATCCTTGGGTCTTCACTCTCGGGCATTCAGACTCCCCAGACAATACTTTTCCATTCTGATCAACGAAGGATATAGAAAACAGGCCTGGCTACCAGTATTCTAAGATGGGGAAGAAGGCTGGGGCTCAACCTTCAGAATTCCTATTTTCCCATCTAGTATTTTCTGTCTCTGCTTTTGCCTAGGGTCTTCTGGTCAGAGACCTATTGCTCATTGTCTGTAGGTAATAAATCTGTGGTCTTAGACCAGGTAGGCAAAGGATTGTCCCCTGGCTACTTGATGTTGTGAAGAAGTAGAGGGCTTGGACTCTGAAACGGGAGTTTTGTAACCAAACTTCCTGTTTTGGCCCCACCTATACCAACTTTTTCAGCGATACAGTGAGCCTTCAATTTTATTTCACCACTTTTTCTGCTGTTCACTTGAATGTTCAGCTTTCTCTAGTATAAGTCACTTACTAGATCCAGCTTCCTAGTTCTGTTGCTCTCATTTCTACCCTGTGTAAAATGATCCCCCCAGCCCATTATTGTCTGTTGGCATTCCCTGTACATTCTCTTCACTATAATCATCATAATCTCTAATTTTATTTTCTTGTTGTTTACTTATCTCTGCACGTAAACTCCTAACTCTCTCAGGGAAGACCTTGTTGTCTTCCGTATTCTTTGTGCCTGTCACAGTACTGAACTAAGGTACAGCGGCTAAGAATGCAGGCTCAAAAGTCAGAGTTCAAATCCCAGCGCCACCATTTAGTAAATACACGGTCTTGGATAAATAATCTCATTGGCTTCTTAACCAGAACTGAGATAGTGAACCTCTCTTCTGGAGTTTTTGGGATGATTAAATGAGATAATTTAGGTAAAGTGTTTAGTAAGTACCTGGCACTTGATAAGCAACCAATAAATGCTAAGGTGCAGGATAAACAAAATGAATAAGTGCCCTAACAAATACAATGTAAAATATGGCCACTCTGTGTGTATATATATCTATATACATACACACTCCATACTTAGATTTATTTGGGGCATGCACCTCTCCCCCCCATCCCCGTTTGATTAGACTAATGACCTTAGGGTCTTCTGTTACTTCTTCTCCAACAGGATATCCATCACAAGGGTCACCGCTGATATCTCGCTTGCCAAACGCTCAGTATTAAACAATCCCAGTAAGCACGCCATCATAGAAAGATCCAACACAAGGTCAAGCTTAGGTAAGTCTGTGCGCTGATCTTCAGCTATTTTAACACTGCTCTCCTGAAAAGGACAGTGCGATGGAAGGAAATGATAATTCCATGTGTCACAGAGTTCAGAAAAAAACCAACTCGTGTTCCCTGGAGCTAGTGTACAGTTGTAATGATTTCATGGTGTGGAAGGATTTGTTATGATACTTTCAAGTTAAAAATCCCATATGCTGGCTCGGCGCCTATAGCTCAACTGGCTAAGGCTCCAGCCACGTACACCTAAGGTGGCGGGTTCGAATCCCCAGCCCGGACCCGCCAAACAACAATGACGGCTGCAACCAAAAAATAGCCGGGCGTTGTGGCGGGCGCCTATGGTCCCAGCTACTTGCGAGGCGGAGGCAGGAGACTCGCTTGAGCCCAGGAGTTGGAGGTTGCTGTGAGCTGTAATGCCACGGCACTCTACCCAGGGGGACAGCTTGAGGCTCTGTCTCAAAAAAAAAAAAAAAAAAAAAAAATCCCATATGCTGTCTGTCAACAGTAATGTTTTGGTTGTGGTTTGGTTTTAGTAATCTGAGCTTTGGTGTCTACAGATTCTTACCAACGGCTGGCTTCTTAGTAAGCAAGTATTACTTTCTTGAAGGCTGTTTCGTCCTTAAAAAAAAAAAAGATATAACTTACAGAATTACTGTAAGGATTAACCATGGTATGAACTCCATAAATGAAGTCTATTATTTCAAATAACCCTTAATACTTGAATTATATCAATAACGAAATTATATTCAAGACAGTATAATTTGTGTATGTTGGTTGATGCTGATAAAAGATGAGGTCAATTCCTGGCTATTTTCCAATAATATCAATATTTTGGTTTTATTTGTAAAAACCAGTATAGGGATTTTAGTTGATGTGTTTAGTTGGTGGACTAAACTGAGATCCTTTGGCTATTTCTTCTCTCTGCCACGTGCTTGGAGTTCTAGATTAATCACTATTACACATGTGACTTACTGGATTATTAGGTCTCTGTTTTTATAAAGTGTATTTTCTTCAGGCTGTGTAAGATCTTTGAGCTTAGTTAATTTTTTTCTATTTATAGGTTAAACATATAACTTTGGGGAGGCTTGTTTTTAATGTAGTTTTTAGTTCACCCTGAAGTATCATTACATAAGTAACAGAAAAAACTATTAGAAATAATAAACTTTATCAGTAACAGGTATATTTTATAGAACTGAAATTTTGTCCCTCATGAAACAACTCCTCAATGATGAAACTTCAGTAACAGCCTTAAAGATTTATTAAGGGGAAAAAATGTGATCATATGTTTTGTTGCCAGCAATTTCTTTTTAATGTCCTTATCATCTATGATACTTAAAACTCTTACCATACATTACTTGATGGTCTCAAGAATATTATATAATTGCTTACTTAATAGATTCAGTTAATTAACAGAGTCAAGTAATTTGTTTAGACTCATCAACTGAATCAGGGACATAAAAGATTTATTTAGATTACCGAGGCTGTACCTGCTGACTCTGCATTATTTTTAAGTGACTCTCCTGCTCCATATATTTTATTGACATCCACTAGACACTGAATATCGTGGAAATGCCTGGAAATAGAAAGATGAGTTAGATGAAGCCTCTGCCACCAAGGAGCTTGGTGTAGCAAGAGCCCACGGAACTGGAGGGTGATGAGCAAAGTTGTCCAGGCTGAAGTGATTGCCAAAGCGCTAACACTGTGGACACACGTTGGCTGTTGGGAAAGGCTTTTCCCAGGAGCCTATCTATCATGAGCTGACACTTGAAGCATGATCAGATTTAGTTAAGAAAAAAGGGAAAGAGGTAGAAAAGATGACAGCTATCTGAGAGTGGGAGCTACAAGAAGTTTCTGGAAAATACGTTTGCTTTGCTTTGGCTGAAACGGAGGGTTTAAAAAAGAGGGAGATAGACCACGACATCAGAGAGACAGGCTGGAGTCAGGCAGTAGCTCATGCCTGTAATCCTAACACTCTGAGAGGCTGAGGCGGGAGTATGGCTTGAGCTCAGGAGTTCTATTTTTTTGTTTGTTTGTTTAGCAGGCCCGGTCTGGGTTTGAACCTACCAGCCCCAGAGCATGTGGCCAGTACCCTAACCACTGAGCTATGGGCACCCAGCCTCACGCAGGAGTTCTAAACCAGCCTGAGCAAGAGCAAGACCCCATCTTTACTAAAAGTAGAAACATTAGCCAGGTGTGGTGGTGGGTGCCTGGAGTCTCCAACTGCTGGGAAAGCTGAGGCAGGAGGATTGCTTCAACCCAGAAGTTTGAGGTTGCAATGAGCTATGATGATGCCAGCTGCGGTGACAAAGTGAGACTTTGTCTCAGAAAAATAAAAAAAAAAGAAATTAAGGAGTTTGGAGTTTATTCTTGAGGCATTAGGGAAGCATGTACAGATCTGAACAGTCATTCATTCATATCACAAATATCTGAGGACCACATGTGCTATGTATCCTAAGTTCATAAATGCATATACTATTAAGATTATTTATAGTACTAAGGGCTACCTTTTTTTAAAAATTTCCTTCTATATTTACTTTATTCTTCTTGTTTTCCTTAGGTCTTTGTTAACTCTTAATTGTTGTTAAGCTATCAGATTACATAGTCTTTCTACTTCCCATCCCTAAAATGGTGAAAGTATTAGAATGTATCCTTACGTTGTAAGTTGGATAGAATGTGTTGACACATAGTAGTAGGGGTAAGTCAATAATGGTTGCTGTTATTAGCAGTTTTGTTTTTCTTTTGCCTTTCATGGGAACAAGAAGAAACATTGGCAGTGTCAATTCTGATTTTTCAAATACAGAGGACAGTTTATATAATTCTTCTATTTCTTATTCAAAGACTAAAGTACATAAGATATAGATCTAGATCTGAATCCAGACAACACTGGCTGCCTTCCATGAGTGCTGTTACATGGAGTAGACATTGCTGCTTTTCTTTTTCATCAAATCTGTGATTCTCAAACTCTAGCCTCCGTATCAGAATCGCCTGGGTCCTAGAAGGTATGTTAAAACACAGAGTGCTTGTCCCAAACCAGAGATTCCTACTTAGTAAGTGTGGGATGAGGTATGAGCTTCTGCATTTCTGACAAGTTCTTGGAGATCCTCCTTTTAAAAAAAATTGCTGATTTAATGAAGATGCTTCCTCAGTAACCCATTTCAGAAACTGTTTTTATTCTATTCTGAAAATACAGATTGTATCCTCAGTAACAGCGGGCTGTACTTAGATAAGGCACTGTAAGAAAATAAACCTCATTTAATCCTTAGGACAGTGGTTTGCAAACTTGAGCTTGCATCGGAACTGCATGGAAGGCATGCTGAAAGGCAGACTGGTGGGACTCACCCCAGAGTTTCTGAAGTCTGGGGAATGGCCTGAGGTCTGTGTTTCTATCACGTATTTAGGAGATACTAATGTTGCTGGTTCCAGGATCAAACTTTAAACACCAACATGCTGAACCATTTTTAATTTTGTAATGTCAATTTGAATCCTTCAAGTGGAATATTTTTTTCCTTTGTATATAGACTATTATTAATTTTACATTTAATTTCTGTTAAATCACCTTTATGGATTGTATTATTCAGAACCTTTGTAACCTTACCTTTTTGCTAACTTATTTCTCAGTTTGATTAACGCTATTACAACCATAATGAGAAATTCATTATGAAGTAGTAATTTTAGCTGACCTATTCCAATGCTGTTATTGATAGGAAGGCCCACAATTGTTATATTTTATATTTTTGTTTTATGTTTATCTTAAATTTGACTTCATATGCTATTATAAGCTTCCTTTATTTTTAAAAATAGCCATTTGCCTTATTTCTTGGTAATTTATATGTGTTTGTAGTTATTGCTTCTACTTTTATTTTTAAACTCTGTGTGATATTTTTTTTG